TTTTCGTAGAACAAAGTTACATCATATGTAAGCTTCAACAACACTGTATTTTGAAATAAACTATTGTTTTCACAGAGAAATTCATGTAATTAAAGCGAATAAATTGCCTATACCAAGTCAGGAATATGACAGTTGTTTTCCATTCGTTTGATGTGTAGGAACTTTTGATTTTGCCATTTTATAAAAGGACTTTTCGTTTTGAATTTCACTTGGAGTTCGGTATTTTTGTTATTTTACTTTTTTGTACGGCGAATAGGTTTTTTACTGTACGGGGAATTGAATAAATACTGTTTGCTATAATTGTTTCTTTGAATTCGAGGTACCTATATTCGATGGTGATGCTACAAAGTGACTTCAGTAGATGAATTTCATTGACCATTTTTCATTGGTCCCCTGTATTACTGGTAACCAACAAGAAAATTGAAACAAATAATTATATAACAGTGGATGTTTTTACTTAAATTAAGATAAAAATGCAAATAATACGGTTTGAATAGCTATTCGGTATTTTTATTCAAATATCTATTTACAAAAACCTTTTTACCATTCGAAAATGTGGATTGTGTAGATAAGGTTCCAGTAACAGTGGACGTCATCGTTGCTCTAGCATCAAATCAAATTACATACCGATGGCTCGATAACGTGTCTAATCTAGATTTGCAATTATGTTCTGAACATCTCTTAACTTAGTAAAACTTCTATGCGCAATCAATGCACGTTTACTCTATTAAATCTGTCTTCAATTAAATTCAATCAGATATTATTATCAACATGTTTAAATGAAATGAAAAAGTAAACTTTTATTTTAGATTTCGATCTTAATGGGTTTATTTTTAACTTTTTTCAAACATTAATATTCAATTTTTCCAGGTAAAACGCGTACTTTTTTTACTCATAAAATAAATTTCTTGAGTGCTTTGCAATTCTGTCAAATATTCTGATCTTAATGAATCCTATTTATTGGGTCAGGATCAAGGGAATGTGGAAAATCGGTGTTGTAACGTTATTTGTGCATTGTGCATATCCGGCCAAGTAAATATTGGCAAATTGATTCCAAAACACCTTTTTTACAAAAGTGGTTTTATTAGTTATTTACGATAATTGATTATTTCCACTTGTTTGTGTAAATATAATAAAATAAGACTTTAGCTTTTTTCAAAATTTGTACGTCAAAGGCATGTAAATTTTACAGGAGTTTGATAAAATATAGATAAATTTAACCATAAATAATTAACGGCTGTTTTACGGTTGAAAGTTATTTAGTGTGTTTCCAATCTTTTGGGAACCAATCTTATTATCTAATATATTGAACTCTTAATCGTATAAAAATGCTTCACAAAAGTATCATGAAAAAAAAACATTATCCCTGGCAATGTTGAGCTTTGACTGCTTTCCTTAACTTTGTGCATGATCGTACTTGAAAGAATAACCTTTACATATAACAATAAGATGTGGTAAGATTTATCAATGAGACAACTCTCCACCAGAGACGAAATGACATAGAAGTTAACAACTACAGGTCACCGTACGGCCTTCGACCTTTACATGTATGGGTTTTTATTACTACCACTGGATCTCTATCGCTGCTGTTGGGCTAAACGCCATATGCGTTCTTCTTACTTTCCAGTTCATAAATTTAGGTAAATTTTGCTTAAACTTTAGTTGGTTTGCAGTATTCTTGCAAAGTTGGCTTTCAACGCTTTTGGCTGCTCCTTTTGGGCTAAGTTGGGTTTTATGCTATCAACAGTTTTATATTTTTACTGTCAATCTTTTCCCGAGCGTACGAGATAAAAGTTACTACAGAAACATGTGATGCGAGTACGGCAATCATAAATATATTCTTAGCTCAACTGGCCCAAAGGTTCAAGTCAGCTATTATCATCATTCTGGGTCCCTCATCCGTTAACTTTAACTAAACATCTTCTACTCTGAAGCTACTGGATCAATTTGAACACAAATTTGACCACAATCATCATTGGGTATCTAATTTGGAAAAAAAATGAGTCCGATGATCCCTCCTGTAATCAGACATGGGTAATCGTAATCAGTTATCGTAATCAGCTGTAATCAATTACATTATGCAATATAGTTGCATGTAATCAGTAATCATGCAATTTCTTATTACAAGTAATCGTGATTTAATCGATTACAATGTAAAAATCAGGTGTAATCATGATTACTTTTAGATTACATTCATACGATTACTTGCTGATTACAAATTTTGTAGTTTTTTGATATACAATATAAAAATAAGAAGATGTTAAGTATGAATGAAAAAAATTATCAAAATAGTATTCACTGTGATTGACAATCCCTGCCTGCAATCCATCTAGGCCGATTGCAAAAAAAAAATAGAACATAGAGTAAAATGCAAAATTGTCAATTATCTTGATTATAGATAAAGATAGAAAAAATCTGACCAGGGAAAAATAGTTAGAATGTCTACTAGGTCTACCAACTATCCATTTACATCAAACCTGTCAGATAACATAAAAATGATCAGCAAGACAAGATCTCTAGATATGTCAAATGGCATAAATCGTCAAACGATTCCTTATAGAATTTTTTTTTTAATTTGCAATTTCAACTATTTTTTTTCCAATTTTGTCTGTTATCTAAAGAACTATAATTAATAGAGAGAATGTTCAAATAGAAAAAAAATATCAGTAAGACAAGATCTACAAATAAGTCAACATGGCCAAAATCATCAGTCGATTTTTTTATAGGAGTTTTTGTCCTCAAATGACGATTTTTTTTATCATTTTTTGCGTGTTTGCCTATTAATCTCTTGAAAACTATGATAGATAGGAAAAACTGTAAACAGTAAATTATCAGCAAGACCCGATCAACAAACATGTCAAAATCATCAGCCCACTTCTTATAAGATTAAATGCTATATAGAATGATGATTTTTACCCATTTTTGTGTTTTCGGTAAACACTACAGAAGTATATAGAGTAAAATTCAACAGCAAAAATTATCAGCAATTATTATACAAGATCAACAAAATTGAAATTTTTATAGTCATGAATTATATTCTAGTCTACAATATTGGAGAATGGTTATTATTGAAGATGCACATAGATGCAGGTGAGCGACACAGGCTCTTTATAGCTAGCCTTTAGTTTTTGTTTCTTTGAGAAGAATGAAAGAGGATATCCCTACTAATGAAATAATAGATGATGATTTTGTTTCTATAAAAATATATTTATTTTGAACAATAAAAAGCTGTTTTTCTCCAATCGGCAACAGGAGGAATTTCTGGTTGACACAAACAAAAATTGCAATTTGACTGAAATGTATATCACGTACTGCGCTTACTACGATTTGACAATGTACCGTTCTACTTTATAAGGGGACTCGCTGACCAAGTGGTCTAAGTAGTGCAACTATTATATTACTAGCCTGTCAACTCTGAGGTTGTGAGTTCGAACCCGCACGTGGCAGGTGCATTCGACTCCAATCTTAATTGACTAGAATAGTCAGTTTTCCTACCGAAGGTCGGTGGTTTTCTCCACCAATAAAAACTGACCGCCATGAAATAACCAATAGTACTGAAAGTGGCGTTAAGCACCAATCAATCAATCATTCAATCAATTAATCTACTGTATAATGTCAACAAATGAAATAACCGTCTCAAAACTTTGATAGTATGCATTATTAAAGTAAATCGCAGGGATCATGTATACCTTTCAGTCAGGTCAAAATGATTTTTATCTTGCGATCGACCTTACAAATACATGTTGACAGATAGCTTGAAGCTGGACAAACGTCTAGTATACATTTATAGTCTCCTGGTATCCCGCTTCAGTTGTAAACGACCGGTTCTGTTTACCTCACAGTTCAACTTGGGGTCCTCATCGCGGTCCGCCTTCAAGTCCTATTGTTTTCATTAAAAACAAATCCAACGGTTTGGAATTTAAAAAAAAAAACAATAGGATAAAAGCAATATTCGTACATTGCAGGAAAATAAAAAAATGTAAATGTACTCGCTACGAAACAGGAGAAAAGCTCTGCGAACCTCGCTTTTCTCTCTGTTTCTAAAGCTCTTACGAATGAATTTTATATTTTCCGACAATGGTTTCGGCTAAATCGTATCCGAGGAGTAACGTTTAACAGGTAAAGTTTAGACTGATAAATCTGTCTCAAATCTTATCGATATAGGCTTGAGCGTAGGTATCAAGCAAGGGGACGGTACTCGTCAGTCTAAGATAAAATTATGCTATGTTACGTACATGAGTAGCGTTCACAAAGTGTTATGGCTAAAAGACGAAAACTACGACTTTTAATTCCATAGCGAGTCGGCAGGTGAAAATGAAATCGTAAGCCCACGAAAATTGTGTCTTATGTATTACCCTTCCGGAGCACCTGATATTACCCCCAGTTTTTGATGGAGTATGTATTGCTCTTTCTGGTAGTTTAAGGATTTTTATTGCTTGCTCTGCTGTATGGGTTTTGCTCATTGTTGAAGACCTTGTCTCATTGGCAATCATACCACATCTTCTTATTTTTATATTGTTTGTATTTTCGTCGTCTTTTCGTTTGTTTTTTTGCCAGAGCGGTTACCACGACTTATGGGGTTTGAATGTCTCTTCGGTATCTGCTTCCTCTTTTTACTAAGATTTTATTTCATTTAGCGTTTTACACACTTTTATTCAGTCGATGTAGAAAATTTGTAAATTAACCTTTTTCAAGTAAGGAATCAATATTACATTTTTAATTAAATTTAAGAGAAATTGAAAATGAACATAATAAAGAATGTATAATAACACAATAACCAGTAACTTGTAAAATTGAAATTGATTTTTTTTTTTATTTGGGAAAGGGGGGGGGGGGGGTAATATATAATGCTATTTTTCTATAAAAAAAAAACATTTATATCTTCTTTTATCTAAATATAAATACCTTTTATCAATTACAAAAAAAAAAAGAAACTAGCAAATTATTCATACTATTTCTGTTATTTGATGATGAGTAAATTTTGTTTTCTTAAAGCTTACCTTTGCGCCTGTACACAATTGTATTCGGCGAACTGACACATGTTGTTACATCCGAAATTACGTTACTGAACAGTCGACACTTCCGCGTTTGTAAATTGTGTGAAAACGAAAAACACTCGTCCTCTCGAGATGCGCATTTTTCTGCACATGAAAGTTTCGATCTAGTAGTCAAACTATTTACAAGAAAATTTTCGCAATCGTGACCACTTTCTGTTGCCTGTTTGATAAATTTTTCATCTATCATTAATGCTATAACATTCGTTGTGAAAGTAAATAATATCCCGAAGTTAATTGATACACGCATATCTATTTCAATTTGATTTACATGTTCCAATGTTCATGCTATAAAGTTTCTGATACAATTAGATTTCCCGCACTGAATGCGTAGGAATTTCATGGATGATTTCTGTTCGTCGATATCTTAATGGGCACTGCTAAGTATTCTGTATTTACCACTCTTTAAGTATTCAGTATACCATTAACGGCGTTCTTAGATTAAACAAACACGAAAATCCAAACAGATAAATCGGGACTATTTTAATGAACATTGCTTCGAGTTATTAATTAAAATATTGGAATAAAATAGATACATTTAAGCTTCACCACACTTTAATTACTTGAAATTAGTTTAATTATCACAGAGATGTCGGAAATTAAAAATGTACCAGAAAGAGACGAACAGTATCCTGAAATGAACTGAAAAACAACAATTATCAAATAAGCGAATTTACGGTCCGATTTACTGACTGACTGGACATTGCGTAGTAAAAAGCCAAATGGATACAAGAAAAACATCTGTAGTTTTTAAATGAGCGATTTGCATTTTAGCCCTAATCTGATCTAATTGGGTTTCATTTGATTGTAGATCTTTGAAATGTGTCTGTTTTATTTATTCTCAACTTTTATAGACAGGGGTCGATTTAGAGCGTGCCATACGGTCTGATATATATTCTATAGTATATATACTAAGTCAAAAAGATAAGCAGCAAATATTTTTAATTATATCCTAAAATCAACTAATCTGTACTTCTGAACATAATAATAAAAAGACTAATGTATCAACGAAACTAGACCATAAGGGTTAGAAAAAATATCAAGTACTTCATAAGTATGATTTACTTGTGTCTCATCCATTTTTTTTTTTTTTTCATTTAGCAAATAAAATATGTTTTAACTAAACTATTGAATATGAAGGTGAAACCAACTTTTTTGGGAATAATATCAGATCATTACGGATATCTTATTTGATTTATTTGTCTACATTTGGTCTTCAGAAATAGTGAGATCACATACACGTACCTCTATCATAGTCGTGTATATGTTCCAGTTGATTTGTAAATTATGGATTTTGTTAAATCCATGAAATTGCAGCAGTTTTGAAAATCACTGAACTGATTAGTGAGTTTATTAAACCATGGTTTTGACTAGAGATTTTACAAAACCCCTGAAATAATTATGAATTTTTTTTTACAGATTCACTGATTTATTTCAGGGATTTTTTTAAAAATCCATCTTTTTGTTTAAATAATTAATTGAAAAAAGACAAAATTATGCCGTTAGTTTTTTAGTTTGAATTGTTTTACATTTATCATTTAGGGGCCTTTTATAGCTGACTATGCGGTATGGGTACAATCTGTTGGGCCTTTCCTGACAAGTGTACAATCGCTTGGCCAACTTCAAAAAATACACTGCATATGTATTTCATTATTTGTTTCTTGTCAGTCCTATTATATTCATCTATGGTTTTTGAAATAAAAATTAACATAAATTCAGTCATTTTGCCGATTACAATTTAGTAGTTGAGAATTGGCCTATCTCCGTATTGTACTGGGTAAAAAGGCAAAAGAAAAAAAGAGGGGGGGGGGGGGGATTTGTGTAAAAAAATTTAAGAGGTAGACGAATCCGGCCTTAAAGTGATCAAATTGACTTTTTATGTGCAAAGATAGGCAAATGTACCATATTTTGATTTGCTTAACTCACGGTTTTCGTTTTAATTAAATTGGTAACCGCTGAATAACACTGAAAAATGCTATCTTCTGTTAAGACACACACGATTTCGACCTTGCGTAGACATGCGTACAATATATATCAACGTTTTTTTCTTTAAAATGATAACATTTTCAGAGAATGAAAACGCATGATCTGCAAATTTTCTCAAATTTCTGAAGAATACACTATTTCAATAATGTAAAAATTGTTTGTATTACAAACATATTGGGAAAAAGTAAGAACTGGCAAAATGAACCTTTCTTACCTTTTGTCTCATTGATAAAAATAACGTGCTCGTCCAGTGTCCAGTGTGATGGTCAAATAAATTACTAAACTAGTATCTGTAAAGATAGTATCTGTAAAGATATCAACCTGTTTTTCTCAGATATTTAGGGTCTTCATTTCTGTATTCCTTCATTTTGTATGCTATTCGACTCTATTCTTTATTTATTTCGTCCATCATTCCTTAGTTTGTAACTCTATAGAGACCCTTAAGTTGTGTTTTATCATTTTTATAAAAAAAAGAATCAATGAGTAAATTTGTTCGACTTAATTTTTAGTATTGAATGAGGAAAATTTATCATACATGCCCTATAGTAGAAATTTACACAGGAACAGGAACGTGTAACGCGTTTTTTTATTGGAGTCGGTGAAACATGAGGTATAAATAAAAAGATGAACAGTTGACGTTTGCGACAAATTCAGCCTGTAAAGATATCATCAATGGCAGAAATATAGATTCCACCACTGCAACAAGTGTGTTACGATATTTCTCAAATAGAGACAGTTAAAATTTTAATATTTAAAGCACGAGGCTTGCCGAGCTTTTTGAATAGTTAAAATTTAACTGTTGAGAGTGTAGAAATATCGTAATACACAAGTTATATTGGTGGAATCTGTTTCTCTAATGTTTTTATCCTTTCTTGTTGAAAGATTTGAAAGTTGTGTTCTTTATATGTGACGTCATCGTGCATGGTCGCCTTTTTTCAAGACGTCACAATAGGAAATTAAGAAGAAACCAAGAAAATTTGAAGTCATAATTAAATTTCGGCCAATTATTTGCCGAGAACAGTTATTTCACTAGTGAGGAGAACAATTTTTTCACAATCGGTTGGGAAATGTGAAAATAGTGAATATGTGTTCATTGTGTATCTAAACGTCTCCACAGTGTCCCGAATTCTTTATATCATTTCAATTCGCCAATTGTTCACTTAACCTTTACACGGTATTCCGAGAAAACACAAAATCCTTAAATTTCATTCAATTATAATTCATAATAAAACTCTTCAACACTCAAGCGGTATCACCCTCCAGGAACTTTTCAATATTCATTACTATAACTCCGATGAACGAACAACACGCAGTGTACCAAAGCTCTTTTCTATCTTCAGATCATCATGGAATCCTATCCCGGACGATATCAGACTAAATCCATTAAAATAAAACCTTAAACATCATAACACATTCGAATGTGTAATAGAGGCTTAAATCCAAATTTGATAACAAGACAAAATTACTATTATTAAATCGTAACGTAAGGGAAAAAAACCTCATGTCAGAAATATGTTGGATTGCAGTAGTTTTAATGAACATTTATAAAATAGAAATCTCACGGAAAGTAAAAACTGTTCATGAATGTGGCAGAATATATAGCAGTAAGCATTTCCTTCTTGTGTGAAATAATTATTCACATGCCCGAAAACGTTATTACTAGAAACTCTTCTGTTCCATTAAAACGTTTTGGCCTATATTGACTTCCTCCTTATCTCTGATTTGAGAGGTAGAAACGAAAAGATCTGATGACATTTTTTTAACAATTTAAATAGCAGTTATTTCCTTTTCAGGGAGACGGATTATTATAAGAACAATATTGTTTCCGAACCCCTTTGTGTATTACTGCAATCATATTTTGTATGTCATGTCTTTCAAATAAAATATGTTCATACTGAAAGCTGTATCACGAAAATAAGATGATTCAAAATAATATTTATGACATTTTTGTCATCAACTTAACCTGAAATCGAAAATATCAGTGTAAAGCCAGTTTTATCAAGAATATTTTTAATAATTGGATTACGAGTCAAACAAATCTGGAACTAAGATAATTTCTATATTCATAAAATATATGAGAAGAACATAACCCATATCATGCCAACAGCTGGTTCTAGAATAAATGTGTTTATTTCCGATGCAAAGACCCTATGAGTGAATCAATATTAATACCAAAATATGCCATCTTTAATGACCTGACAACAGTATCGTAACTATATCCCTTCTGAATATGTCTGTTTAAAGGTTTGGTTAGCTTTTGGGGTGAATGTCGACATTTTTGAGCTTTGTATAGAATATTACCATAAAAGATTGGATGTGAAATACCTGAACGTATAAGATGTCTGCATGTTGATTTATATTTACGAAAAATGATGTCCTTGTACCGATGATAAAATTTAGTAAATGTTTTGACTAGTTTGTGATATCGAAAACCCTGGTGTAATAATTTTTCAGTAATACAGAGATTTCTTTCGTTAAAATCAAATACGTTGTTACATACACGAGCGAATCGACAAGTTGGAAATATAAACACCATAAGATGGTGACAAGGGAACGTCACCATCTAAAAATGGATAATTAACAATAGGAAATGAAAAATCATCTCTTTTATCATAAATTTTTGTATTAAGCTTCCCGTTTACGATATAGATATCAAGATCAAGTAAAGGGCAGTGCTCATTGTTAGTATTAGCTTTATTTAAAGTCAGTTCAGCAGGATAAATCTCCTTAGTGTACATACTGAAGTCGTCATTATTGAGAGCCAATATATCATCCAAATATCTAAAAGTGATCTTAAACTTTTGTATCAGATGTTGTTTCGATAGGTCTTTGCTGATGTTAGTCATAAATTGTAACTCGTAACAATACAGTAACAGGTCCGCAATAAGTGGTGCACAGAAAGTCCCCATTGGAATTCCAATAACTTGACGATATACGGAATCTTCATGTCTGTTAACTTATATTTGATTTTTTGTAAATTGTTTTGTTATATATAATTAGGCCGTTTGTTTTTTCGTTTGAATTGTCTCACATTTTTCATATTGGGGCCTTTTATAGCCGACTATACGATATGGGTTTTTCTCATTGTTGAAGGCCGTACGGTTGCCTATAATTGCTTTCATCATTTCATTTGAACTTCGGTGGATAGTTGCCTCATTGGTAATCATACCACATCTCCTTATTTTTATATTATATACCTGACTTTTTAACTCGTGTTTTCCTGAACATGCATGAAATGTTTGTCACTGGACGTTAAAAATAAGCAACCAACAATCAATCAATCAAGTTAAACTTGTTTGTGTTAAATAAGGGGAAAACCATTTATTGTTTTGGGGTTGGATGGGGGACAGGAGGATTTTGAACATGAATATGGTGGCCTGGTAAGAGCTGAAAAATAGGCATTATTAGCGACAGATTAAAATGAATAATA